CTCCCACAGCAGTCATGGAGCAGACAAACTCCAGCAAAGCATGTCTCAAAGCACCCAAAGGGGCTCCTTGAACCCCTCAGTCCTGCACTAAGCACACCCCAAGACACAAGACAGGCAGTCAGAGCTTGGGGAGACCCGACAGCCCCTCCCCAGGGACCTGATGGCACAGAAAGGAGCAGGAGCTGCCCCTGCAAGACCTCCCAGCACAGGGCACAGAGCAGGAGATGGCGGTGCCTCCTGCTCCACTCTCCTGGAAAACCCCTGACTTTGCAGGAATGACCCCTTCCGCCTCCTCCTCACGTCATCTCTGGGCACCAGGACCCAAAATGTAAATGCCACGCCGTGCTTCAGCACTTGGCTAAAGAAAGGCATGAGGAACATGGGCTGCTTTCATCCCCTCCACAGCACCATTCTGGAGCAGAGAAGACACACAGGTGGCATCGCCCCAGCTCCAAGAGATCAACAAACACCACAGCAGGTGATGCAGACCAAGGCCCCAGATGAGCATTTCAGACCAGCAGCACTGGTCCCTCATGCTTTTGCTATCAGCTGCTCTCGTGCACATTTGGAGACGTGACAGCCCTGCGCACCGGTGCCTCATTTGCTGCCAGCAGCCCGAAGCTGCTGAGCGATGCCAATGGCTGCAGCTGGCACAGCTGCCAGCAGTGTGCCCACCAACCACATGCTCACACAGCTCCAGTCAGCCCCCCCACGGCAGAGCTATTTGTTTTTCTCCTTGTTGTTAAGAGTTTTTGCTGGTAATTGCCTCTACCAGGCCTTCTGCTGACACGGCCACCGCAGAGGGGAGAGCAATTGATTTGCATCCGAAGACAGATAACACTAAGATGGCAAAACTCAGTAGTGTACCAACCTTTTGCTTTGGGAAGCAAAAAACAAACAAGCTTCCCTGGTCTAAAAACCATCTCTATGTCCACAGCAAGGACTTTTATTGTATTTGCTTCAGCAAAGAAAAAGAAACATCATTCTCTCCAGACAGCATAATTAAACTGCAAGAGCTCTTCCCAAGTACAAACCAGGCCTTTGATTCTGCCTTGACTTGACAAACTGTTTTTCAGACACTTCTTTCAGTCACGTTGGCCCGGCTACATCAGCTTAACAACTGAAGGGCACTTCTGAGGCTTTCTTACAACTTTGGAAATCGTCCTGAATCATCTGAGTTGGAAGAGACCCTTAAAGGTCACCTATTCCACCTCCCCTGTAAGGAACGGGGACGCCCACAGCTCCATCAGTGCTCAGAGCCTCATCCAGCCTAAATGTTCTGGTGTTATTTAAAGTTTGTCTTCACAGAAGGTGAGTTTCCAAACGGCATCAGCTCAGCACGGCCGAAGCACTGCGGGTAGAATTGGTGTTAGGGAAATAGAGGTCAGCACTACTTAACATCCGTCCGTCAAGGAAGGGGCAGCTGCAACTGCAACACATGAGCAAAAGCAACCCTTACACAAAAGCCTCTAATCCAAGTTAAAACTCTCCTGCCCTTACCAGGCGTTCAATGTCACAGGTGGGGAAAACTCCTTTCCTCACACAAAATCACTACTAAAATGCTGCAAACCACCTTGGATCTAACACAGCTGGAACCCCCACCTTGTACATGTGTCCAGGATCTCCTGTCAGTGTAATAGCAACACACCTCACTGCACCAAGGGACCGGAGACAACATCTGTCCCGCAGCCATCAAACACACAGGCTCCAAGACAAAGGGAGAAAAGATGCATTGCATTAAAAGCAATGGCCCTAGGAAAGCAAAGCAGAGCCTCTCCGCACTCGTGCTATCAGCTGGCAGGAGTCAGTGAGCGAGGAGGAAGGGCAGGGCAGGCCTGAAAGGAGCCCTGGATCTCACTTCACCTGTGAAACAGAAAGTGGGAAACAGAAGAGATCACCTGCGTGTCCCCTGCTCAAAGGCACTGCTCGTTAGGTCCTGGCTTTTCCCATTATCCCTCCTGCACTCGGTGGCCTATTACAGCAGCCTCCTTCCAGCCAGGGACCCGTCAATAGGCAGCTCTTTGACAAGAGCAAAGTTGCCCCTTAATCCAGTGGGGAGTCCATTGCACGGGCAGAGGGCTGCCTGCAGCACCAGCTGGCTGCAGGGATGAGAGCACGGATCAAAGCCGGGCTGCAGCCCTCACACTGCTGATCTGCAGCCCCACGAGGCCCAGCTTTGAAGGGCAGGGAGCAGCAGGCACTGCAGGGCTGCTCCTGGCTGAGGGTGCTGGGTTGTGTCTGCTGGCTTTAAGGATCAAAGCTGCATCTCCGGAGGGGGGGAAAAAAAAAGATGTTACAGATGAGAACAGACAGGAGGGGAAAAAAAATGAGAAATGCAGTGTAACTTCTGAGGAGGAGCACTTCATTCAAAGCCACACAGGCACCTTCCTGCTTGGTGCGCAACGTCCTGAGGTTTGCACGAGGTGGAGGAAAAGCAGCATGGCTTCAAATCTGTTTCCAAACTCACACTGGATGACACACACAGACACTAAAACTGACGCAAGCCAGGCTAGCAGCATCAAATTCAAGGAAGCCACAATCGCATCAAACCGGCTGAGCAAGGCAAGCTCGCTCCCTTCAACTTTAATGTAAGTCCTGCAGTCACAGGAGGTCTGAAATATGTAAAAGCACCAAACCAGACTCGGTGTGAAGGACCTGAAGCAAGAGGGCAGTGCCTGCAGTTTGGCTCTGGGCAGCCTGAGCGGGGCAGAACCTCACCGGAGCTCAGCTCTGAGAGCCCACAGTGCTGGGGGGGTGAGGTTCTCCTTTACCTGCTGCTGCAAGAACCTTGTCTGCGCCCCATGTTCCCACCTGGAGCCAATTACTGCCAGCGGCTTTGCTCGTGGGCACGACTTGTGCCCGCGTTGCACCCCGCGTGTGGAACAACAGCCTGCAATGCGGGCTCAGCCCCTGCCCTCCGCACAGCACCGCAGGCTGAGCATCCCGGCTGGAGTAACACAGCCGGCCCATCAGAGGGCAAAACCAACAGCGGATACGAGGGGAGGGATGGGATTCGATCCCGAACGAGTCCCCATCGGCACCGCATCGCCCACGGGCGCCGGGTCCGGTTCCGAGAGCAGAGCTCGGCCACAGCGGATGCTTCCCAGTTAAAAGGGTCGTAAAGCCGAGCCGTGCGGCGCGGACAGGAGAAGCTCCACACGAACACGAGGAAAAACTTCAGCGAGGTGATGGAGAGCCGGCGGGCTGCCGGGGAGCAGCCGCCCTTCCTTGGAGGCACTGAGACACAGCGGGAGCTGCGCGGTGCGGAACCGGCGAGAGAGCGGGGCGAGCAGCGATGCGGGACCGAAGGAAGAAGCGGGCGTGGGGCCACCGAGCGCTCCGGCACGGCACGGCACGGCACGGCACGGCACGGGGAAGGCGGGCTCGGGCAGAGCGCCCTGCGGAGAACGGAGCGAGCAGGCCGGCGGCCGCCCGGCGCTCACAAAGCGGACACGCGGCTCCCGCAGCCCGGCGCAGACCCGCGGCTCCTCCCGCCGCCCGCCCCGCAACCTCCGCCGCGCGGCCCGGGACCCTGCATGCCTCGAGCCGGCGTCTGCCCGCCGCCCCGGACCATGTATAAGCGCATAGCGGCGGCCCAACCGCCGGCGGCGGCCCGCCCGGCCCGGGACCCTGCATGGCGCCGCACGCCGCCCCGCCGCACGAGGAGCCCCGGAACGTGGATGGCGCCGGCGCGGCTCCCCCCGCCCCCGCCGCGCGCACCCGCTCCCATTGGGGGGAACCCCGGAACCTGTATGGCCCATACCACCGACCGGCCGCGGAGGGGTGTTACTTATACAGAGTCCCGGGCCCCCCTACACACAATGGCAGCAGCTCCCACATTCTTCCCCTCAGAGGAGTTGGACTGAACCATGGGGCGGCGGGGGCACGGCCCTCTCCCGGCCCCCGACAGAAGCCGCCTGGCCCTGGGCGATACCACTGCGCGCTCCCCCATCTTCCGTCCCCCCGCCCGGGTAGATGGACGCCGCCGCTCTCACTCACCTCGGCATCCACTGTGGCCATGGCCGGAGCCCCGGAGCGTAGCCCCGCCCCCGCGGCGGCTCCTCGCGCCTTGGCTCCGCCCCTTTCCCCTCATTCTTCTCAATGGAGACGCTCCGGAGACCATCGCGCATGCGCGCGGCAGCATGGCGGCCCCCGCGGGTCCCGTAGGCCGTACGGCGTCATGGCGGCGCCCGTTGGGAGGCGCTGTACGGCGGGGGGCGGGCTGAGGGCGGGACCGAGTGGGGGGGGGAACGGGGATGGGGACAGAACAGGGGTGAGATGGGGACAGGGACAGGAGTGGGGGTGAGATGGGGACAGGGAGGGATGGGATGGGGACAGGAATGGCAACGAGAAAAGGAATGGGGGTGAGATAGGGATAGGACAGAATGGGGATAGCAGGGATGAGATGAGGATAGAATGGGATGAGGACAGAAGAGGGATTAAATGGAGAATGGGTGGGCTGGAGATGGGATGGGGACAGGGAGGAAATGGGATGGGGACAGGGAGAGACGGGGATAGGATGGGATGGGATAGGGATAGGGATAGGGATAGAGATAGGGATAGGGATGGGATAGGAATGGGATAGGAATGGGATAGGAATGGGATAGGGATAGGGATGGGATAGGGATAGGGATAGGGATAGGGATAGAGATGGGATTGGGATAGGGATAGGGATGGGATAGGAATGGGATAGGAATGGGATAGGGATAGGGATAGGGATGGGATAGGGATAGGGATAGGAATGGGATAGGGATGGGATAGGGATAGGGATAGGGATGGGATAGGGATGGGATAGGGATGGGATAGGGCTAGCAGTGGGGATGAGGGACAGGATGGAATGGAGATGGGAGGGAAATGAAATAGGGATAGTGTAGGATAAGAACGGGAATGGAAGAGAGATGGGGACAGGACGAGGGTGGGACAGGGATAGGGTGGGATGGGGACAGGGACAGGAATAGGGGTGATATAGGGATATAGAGATATAGGAATAGGGAGATAGGGATGGGGTGGAATAGGGATAGGAGGGGGATGAGATAGGGATGAGATGAGGATAGAATGGGGTAAGGACAGCAAAAGGGGTGAGATGGGGAGAGGGAGGGACAGTGATGGGACGGGGATTCAATGGAGACAGGAACGGGATGGAGGTGGAATGGGGACAGGGAAAAACGGGGACAGCAATGGGTGTGAGACAGGGTGGGGTGAGACGGGCACAGAACACAATAAGCACAGCAATGGGCTTGAGATGGGGGTCGGCGATAGGGGGGCACAGGGCGGAGCTCTGCCCCGCTCCCACCGCACGGGGGTCCCATTCACGTGCAGAAGGGCAGGCAGGGCAGTGACACCTCCCGCCGCACTCCGCGTGCTCTGCGGGTTCGGGGTCACAGCTCCGTCCCGCATCCCCCAACGCACGTCCGTACAGCGGCTCCCGCTCCTTACGGCCAGCCGGGGCCGCCCCTGCAGGCGGAGGAAGGGACGGGACCTCGGGCCCCGCCCGGCTCCCATCGCTCTGCGCCGGCCGCTGCTGCCCCCGCCCGGCCGCCCCGCGCCGCAGTCAAAATAAGAGTCCCCCGGTGCGGGGCGTTGCGGCCGCCTCTGCTCGGCTCTGCTCGGCTCTGCCCGGCTCTGCCCCGCACGCAGCTCGCACCGCCCCGCGGGGCCCCCGAGCTCGCAGCCGCGGCCCTATGAAGGGAGGGAGGTGTTGGTTGTGTTGGGATCAAAGCCGGGATGGAGCGCTCCCCGATTGTAACGGATTGCAGGGTTTGAGTTGCACGGAGCCGGATGGGGTTGTATAGGAACCCCACGGGTGTCAATAGGTACCTCAGCCCCGGTGTGGAGCTGTGGGTCGGTCCCATCCGGGTCAATGAGGGAGTCGGGATGGGATGCGTTCCTGTTGCAGAGGGGTGGAATTGTGTTCAAAGATGGGCCGCCATGTCTGTCGTTCCAAATAATTCCTCCAGGCAACGGCAGAAAACGCTTCTATGGAGCTACTGAGTGGAAAGCTCAAACAGGAGCCAACATCCAGCGAGGGGAAGTGGGGCCGAGGAGGAGCTGCAGCCCTTCTCACACCGCGCTCAGCTCCGGGCCCGGCAAACCAAGAACTGCAAAGAAAAGCAGCACAGCAGCCGGGCACGACTCGGCCGCGATGGGTGAGAGCGGCTCGGGGGCAGAGCAGCCCCCAGCGATGCCGTGTGGGGCAGCAGGAGCCAAAGCAGCGTTTGGTGGAACACAAACAGCACTGGAGAGCAGGATGGGCAAAGAGGTGCACGGCGAGAACGAAGCAGCATGAGAAAGGGCAGAGGATATTTTTGGTGTTTTCCATTGGATGCCGTTTGGAAACAATTGTCTCACAGGCCCCCGCCACTTCCCCTCCTGATTGCAAACAAAAGAGAAAGGGAAAAAAAAAAACAACCAATTGTTTACAAATTTGAGCCAGGAATTGAATTAATTCCTACATATGAAGCTTTTCTACCCAGGCTTTTGTCTTCAGCACAGAGTTCAGAAACAGGAGAGGGGAAGGAGGGGCCCACAGGAGCTCCCTGTGATCCAGGCTGCAGCAAGGCAGGGCTGATCCCATTGCTCTGCCACGGACTGTGCACCCCAAAAATGGCTTTCCTGCCCTCTGGCACCTGCTGTGAGCACCACACTGTGAGGCATTCGAGGCCAGGCTGGATGTGGCTCTGGGCAGCCTGGGCTGCTGGTTGGTGACCCTGCACGTAGCAGGGGGTTGAAACCAGGTGATCATTGTGGTCCTTTTCAAGGCAGGCCATTCTATGATTCTATGATTATGACTCTGCTGCCACAGCATGCTGGGCTCACAGCCCCTGGTGGGGGCAAGAGGAAGCTTTCACCCTGCAGTCTGGGATCGCCAGGCAAAGGGGAAAGTCCTAAATAATAAACTGCTGGGCAGAAGCACAAGGTGAGCAGAGAGTGAGGAAGAATCCTGGTGTATCCTGGCAGGTTGTGCTTCGGGCTGCTTGCAGCAACAGCACTGAGACAAATCCAACTTGTTTGAGATGGTATCAGCAAACCTGTGGGCACGGGGAGCAGCCTTCCAGCTGATCCAACAGGCATCAGAAATGGAAGAAAGAGCACAGCATTTCTCTTGGAATAATTTATTAAATACAGCATTAAAATTTGTATTTATGAATTCGATCATTAAAAACAAAACTTTGTCTCATATATATATATATATATTTAAGGACAATGACAATCATTCTATCAACATTGGTGGATGCTGTGCTGGCGCTGCTCAGAACGGCACCTTCTCTACTCTACCCTTAAAGCAGTTCAACACTTTTAAAACAAAATAGAATAAAAAGGTTTTTGCAAAGGAAGAGTGCAAAGCAAGGCTTGTCCCCAGCAGCCAGCTGGGGGTGTGAGGAAGCAGAGCTCCTAGGAGATTTGTTAGATACTGCCTGCCCAGCATCAGGAAGTGCAGGACCAATTCTCAGAGGTGCCAAAGGTGCAGTCTGCTATTTCAGCCTTGGCTGGATGCCCATAGCTCTGAGTGTCCTGCGTTTGGTTTCCTCAGCTTGGGCAGTCAATGCTAAAAAGCTAAACAACAAGGGGAAAAAAAAAAAAAAAAAATCAAACAGGAAAAAAAAAAAAGTTGCTTTCAGTATCCCAGCTTCTTCCCCTGACCCGCCGGGTCCAGCAGAGGCTGTGAATGAAGTGTAGCAGTTTGTGCTCCCACTCTCTCCGTTCTGCATCTTGTGGTGGTTCTGGAGATGAGCAGCACAGCAGTACCAGCCATCCCCGAGCCCCCCGTGCTGGTGTGGGAGCAGGGAACAAAGTGCCAGGCTGAGCCTGGAGAGGGGGGCACCGCCGAGGATGGGGCTTCCATGGGCAGAGTCCTTGGTAGATGCGGAGGTAGCATCAGACAGACTTCTGTAACTTGATTGTCATGTAATTCTGGCTTGCCTAAGGCCAGACAGCTGGGATGGAGAGGGTGCCCTGCAGGAGCAGGAGATGGGGCACAGGAGCTGGTGTCCCCTGTACAGATTTGACAGGCGCTGGTCATCCTAGCAGCAAGCAAGGATGGTCTGTCTCCTCTAGAAAGTTATCCTAGTTAAAAAGGCTCCTTGCTGACAGAGCCTGCTCTCCACTCAGCACAAGCAGGCGGCGGTCCAGGTCACTGCCCGGGCACCAAAGGCTGCCAGTCACTCATCCCACTACGCAGGTACAGCAAGGGCTTGTGCTTTTGGCTTGGCAAGAGTCCCTGACCTTCCAACCCTGCCTACTCCAAGAAAGCTCCTGTTTCACCTACCCCTGGGACCTATGAGGACAAGGAGGAAGAGCTGTTAGAAGCATTTCTGCAGAGCACGCAGCCCACGAAAGAGAAGAGAAAGTTCACACAGCCCAGTCTTCATCTACATTGGAGACATGCCAAGTCAGGAGCATTTCAGATAAGGCATCGCAGGTGCTTTGATAGTAAAGCAGTTAGTGGTGACTACAGTACTTCAAATACAGGCTGCTGCAGAGGGCATCCCTGGGGCAAGACCAGATCTTCCAGCTTTTGGTGCAGCAGAATGAGATGGTTCAGACCTCTCCTACACACAACACGGGCTGCTCTGGCTGCCCTTTTATCTTCCCCCTCCCAAGAAAGAGATTTAAAAAGCCCAGGCCAGGATGTGCCATTTACTCTGCCAAGCAGCCAAAGAGATAAAAAGACGCCTTGTGCTGTACCAGACTTTGCAGCAGGCTGGTGAACCATCGTGCCGACGGGATGTGGAGCAGGGGAGGCTAGTTGCCATTGCTGATGCTGGAGTTGGCACTGCTGCAGCTCTGCTCATAGGATGGAGGTGCTTCTGCAGGGAAAGGAAAGAACAAGAATGGTTATAGTGGGAAGTTCCCTGAACCTCCATCTATGTAAATCAGTACTGAGCATTGCAAGCTGCTAACGTGTGTGTGCAGGCACTCCAGGACCCTACAGCCTGCCCTGCTGAAGTGACACATCCGAGCATCTCTTATCATCTCAGTGCTAACTGACTGGTTTATCCATGTAGGGCTGTGCCATACCACTGGTCCCAGCCATCTCTGAGAAGCACTGCTTCAGGAATGCAGTGTGCTGGGATTTCCCCAAGCTCTTCCATCCTGGACAGTCTCTCAGCACCCACCCCCAAAGCTTCTGTCTCCAGACCAGATGCAGGCCCACTCCAAAGCAGACGTAAGATTTCAGTTACATCACTTTCCTGGCTCTGCTCCCACCAGCCTCACCACAAGCCAAGGAGTTTTTATATCTGTGGGAGGCTGAAAGCTCATTTCAGAGCAGGGAGATCCTCTCAGAACGAGCCTAGGGCAGCATGGGTGTGGACGTGGGAACGGACAGCTGGCTGTCACAGCCACAAGGAGCTCCTCCAGAGAAGGCAGGCAGAGTTTTCTCACAATTTCCCCTGACTTCAGCCCCGGCGAGCTGACATCTCTATATTCCAGGCTTTTCAGCTTGCAAAGAGACTCTTGTCATAGCAGATGTTTGCTATCACACTGCCAGACTGTTTAGGTCTCAGGAATGGGATGCTCACCGTATGGGTAGCCCCACGTGCTGTATTCTGGAGGCAAAATGAGTGAGCTAGCAGTGGGCACGGGCACCACGTTTCCCTCGGCGTAGTAAGGGATGGTGGCTCCTGTCGAGAGGCAGAGGGTGGGGTGATTTGGGGAGCCTGTCTGCTCCGAGTCTGCTTCCTGGAAGCTCAGTCCTGGGGCGTAGCTAAATGGCTGCTGCTGGGAATGGCTTTTGGTGGGGATCAAGACATTGTCCATTGGGTGATAACCGCCGGCAGCCTCCTCTTCCTCCGGGGGGGCACTGGGTACCACTGCAGATGGTAGGTGCTGGACAGACCGAGAAGGGCTCAGAGGGACCCTGTTCACTGCAATGTTGCCAATATAAATGGGAAGGGTGACTGAAACCTCTGGTGACTTGAGGGAAACCTGGAAGAGAAGGAAAAACAGTGGAATCTTCTTTGTCGTGCATTGCGTAGGGCACAGGTAGGCTCACCTAACAAGGAGCACAACAGCACAAGGGCAGCCTCACCCATCATTACTGACCAGCAAAACAAGTCACACTGAGTTCCTCAGCAAAGCTACATCTTTGACACCCACAAGGTGCCCCTCGCACACACCCAGGACTGCAGCACAACCCACCAGAGCACCATGCTGCTCACCTGGATATAGTAATCGATATGTATGAGGCTACAGCCCTGCAGAATGGACTGGGGCAGTGCTGGAACAAGGATCTGCTCCTTCCATTCCGCATGTTTCCAGGCTTTCACTCCTGAACCTTCTACCTCAGCAATGGTCCTCAGGTCATAAATCCAACGCTTGGATTTGTAAGCCACTTTCTGTGCAGACAGGAATAAAAACAGCTAGCAGAAAGATTGCAGACGATCATCCGTCCCCCACAAAAGTAAGGCAGAACACAAAATCACCCAGTTGTTCTGTCAAACGAGTACAAATGTATAGACATATTTTACAGGGCAGGATTAACCCATCATTGCATTATGCACTGAAGTGCTATAAGCAAGACAAGTCCTACCACCTCTTTCCCCAGGAAGGCAGAGGGAAACAAAGCTAGCCAGAAGTCTGGACTACTCACTGCCACCTTCCAGACAAAAGCAGCAGCAATGCTCACTGTGGTGAAAACAGCCAGCTTCACAATTGCCTTGTTGAGGTGGATTATCAGCATAGCCTAAGAATCATCTTTTTGGATGCTCACCTGCAGCAGGCTGGCTACCACAGCCCCGGTGTCCCGGCCTGATTTGTTCTCTATGTCTGTGCGGAGCTGGATCACTTGCCCCACAATGTACCCTTTCAGATCTGAGGTGGCTGTCAGGACAACGTTGCCACTCTTCACGAGCTTGTAGTTGAACTTCTTGGTAACAGACATAGTGTTGGGCTGCTGCAAGAGACAGATGGTGACCCAGGAGTGTCAGAGAGCCTTCAGGAAAACACTCGGACCCGAAACACGCAAGCAGCAATATCTGCTTTGAGAGGCCACGAAGAACCAGTAACACAGACAACAGGCTTCTCTCCTCCATCCCCCCAGTTTTTCCTGTCCTGTTAGCATCTCTTCCCTTCACGTTCCCCAAAGCCAGGTCTCTACAAACACCTGGTGTTTGTACATGCTGAGATGCCTCTCTTAGCATGTTCAAAATTCACTAAATCTTCCAAAGCAATGTGTGGAGAAGTCAAAAAAATCACTGAGTGGGGACTGATGGCAAGGCAGATCAAGAGCAAGAGTCCTCAAACTGCTCTTGCACCAGCAGGACACGCAGAGAATTATCCAAAAACACAATTACTCCCAAATATCACTTATGACAAGGAGAAGCAGCAATGCCTTGATTCCCAGCCAAACTCATCCTTGTTCCTACCTCAATATCGAGGATGTCATTCAAGTTGAGAGGGCAGAGAACATAGAAGATCTTGTTGCACTTGTAGTCCTTGGAGAAGCGAGGTGTGTCTATCACAGCTTTCACCTGATGGAGGACCTTGCCAAAAGGACCTTCAAATGATGTAGGAGCAGAGGCTGGAGTCAAGACAGAAAGAAAAGGTGTCACAAGACTGAGTTAAGCCAAGCATTTTTATGCTTGAGACAGTTACTCTTCACCTGAACCATTATGCAAGCATCCTAGAGACAGGGCACATATGACTTCCCAAAAAAAGGGGATGAGCACTTGGGTCATCCAGACTCCCTACAGAAGGCACCCCCACACCACAGCAGAGCACACTGCACCCAGGATAGCTGGCCAGCTGCAGGCCAGGACTGCTGTGCCTAGGTGAAAGCCCACAGGGTTCAGTCCAAGCTGTCAGTAGCAGTGCAGACCTAGTTTTACTCCAGATAGGAGCATACAGCTTGCCTAAACTCCTCTGCTGTCTGTGGCCAATCTTACAGTCCCCTCTGGCACCCCTAGGCCCAGCCTGTCTCCACCAGCTAATCCAGGGCCTCAGCACAGCTCCCAAAGCTGGGGAACCCCTGGCTTATGTGAAAGGGCCTCCAGCTGTGTATCTGCATCATACCTGGCAGCAGGAACTGGAAGGAAAAGTTGTGCTCGCCAGCTGAAAGGACTCCTGTGGGAAATAAGAATAACAGGTAAGTGGGAGGTTGTCACCTTGGAATGGTATTTTTGGAGCAGGAGCTTCTAGCAAGAGAGTCCAGTGCCAAGGGAATGCCACACAATTCGTCCAGCTGCCTTCACCCCTGGACACCACCACACTCACCCTCTGCATCCAAGGAGCAACTCACCTGTCCCTGGGGCAGGACACATCTGTGCTCCCAGTGAGGCCTAGGTTAAGATACTTTGGAAATATGGCCCAGGCAGGGCTGAAGGGATGCCAATGCCACAGCATGCTTTAGAGAGGGCCGTTAGCCCCACATTACTGATAGAGGGCACTAAGAAGGAATGCTGTGTTTGCTTCCCTCAGGGAGGCTGTAGCCACTCAGGGGAAGATGAGGAAGCAAAGGCACTGCCTGCAGGTGGGGTAAGGAGGTCTGGTGGGCACCAAGCTGGACCCAGAGCTCCAAATCCCAGGCCTAAATGCACCCCTGCAGATCCTGGCCCCACAGTGCGACCTGCGATACCTCAGCCCAGCTGTCTGGAGGACCAGAGTCAAGAACAGGGTCAAGAAGTAACTTCAACAATGTCCCTGAATTCTCCCCCTGGGCAGTCATCGCAGTGTGGGACAGAAAACCACAGCTGTGAATTCCCACATATGGCACCGAGTGCTTCAGGGAAGGCTGCAGGCTCCCAGCCCAGCGCAGGGAGTTCAAACCTCAGTTCTAGTTTTCTTCAGCTCCCTGCAACATCCTCGAGGGCACAGAGCAGAGCCAAGAGCTGGCACACAGCTCCAGCAACAGCTCCAAACCAAGGCTCCCCTGCATCCAGCTGGATCCACCACCCCTCCCAGGGCAGCAGTGACCCCAAACCGGCCCCACGGTGTGAGCTGGGAGCACCAGGCAGCTCCCTGGGCTGCCTTCATCCAGCAAAGCACCAAGATATAAAGAGGAATCCACGTTTACTGAATAAACCAGAGGTTTTGTTTCCAGATTGGCAGTGCTAAGAGGAGACCTGGATACTTATTAACTCAAGCTCTGTTTGTTCTGCTTTGCAGGATCACTGCTGGAGGTACTAAGGCTCTAAATTTGGCTAGCTGTGTAGTTGATGCAAGAGCAAGGACACAGCTTGCCTGTTAGCAATGTTGGCTCTGCAGAGCTGACAGTAATAAAGTCCTGGTATCAGGTGATCAGGTGGGTTGCACGACAGGGGGAGGGAGCAGGGAATAACCCCCATTTGCAGCCCTGGTAGATGAGGCAGAGTTCAGCCCAGTCCACAGTTCCTATTAGAAAACGCTGCACTGCCTGCAGCCCCCAGCACACACAGCTGTAGCTGATTTCATCCCACTGCTACAGTAAGTCAGGAAGGAAGGAAGAGCTGTCTGTCTGTACACTTAGCCTGTAAAGAAAGGAGATGGCTTGCCCACTGCCATCGCTGCAAGCCAAAACACACTCCTGGTGATCTCCCTTCTCATCCCCAGATAAAACTGGATACGTAAGCTAAAATGCAACATGCCGCCTTGTCACAAGGTGGAGGCATAAAGCAACTCAATGCCTGCTCTGGAAGCCTCGAGACATCCCAGCCTTCTCCTATTGCCTCCCTGGGAAGGGCTCAGAGGAGGGCAGCGCTCGGATGCAGGGGTGCCTTTGCTTGGAGGTTCCAGCACAAAGCTGACACGAAGCACTCAACCACTGCTCCAAGAGCTCCTGCCCCTTATTAAGGCACATCCTCATTTTGGGAAGCACCTTTATGCAGCCCTTTATACACACTGAATTTTCCAATGGTCGCAGCAGCCTGGACCAAGCACCTACCACCACATCACCCGACACTGCTTAATGAATAGCTAATGAATGACCAGCAAGGGCCCCAGCATGCAGTGCCTGCATTTCCTGCCCACACTGCAAGCCTGGAGGCCACTGGAGCAGGGAGCTCTGGGCAGCCCCATGCAGGCATGCCCAGGAGCTCAGTGCCAGAGCTATTCCTGGGACAAGGCTTAATAAAAATAGATGAAGAAAAACAGAAGATCCTGACCACGATGGGAGGTTCCTGCGAAAGCCTGGGTGTGCTCGGGTGCCTGGCGGACTGACAAGGCTGCTGGGAAGCCCGGCTGCTGCAGAGCGCAGGCTGACATTCACAGCAGCCAAGCTGCTCCCTGCTCCTGCACCAGGAGCTCTGCTAAGGACATGCTTAAGCAGAGACCAGGCCAGGTTCAAAGGAACACAGCACGGAGCCGGATCCACAGGCAGTGTGCCCCAGGGCTTTTAAATGCACAGAGTGAGGGGAAAGGGCTGTGCAAGCTGCCAGAGCCTCACCAAGCCATTACCTCACCATTCCCCAAAGCCCAAACAAAGGCCACAGTGTATTCAGATGCAAAAGCTTTTCCTGAAGTTTACGTGCAGCTAAAAATATCTTGAGAAAGTCATTAGGCAGCAGAGGGAGGCTGCTTAGCAGGGCTCTGCCATGGGGCTGTACCTGCAGCCCTCCTACCTGATAGGAACCGAGCCAGCAGGGCTCAGCTGCCCCACACCACAGATATCCTCCCTGCAAAGTCCTGGAGGGAAAGGAACTGCTGCCATAGGAAAAGAAAACAAGCAACCCAAGGAGCTGGAGCAGCAGGGACACGCTAACAGCACAGAGCAAAGAACAACCTTGGAGATTTCCCCTCCTGCTTCCGCTGCCAGCGAGGTTTTGTCCAGACACAGAAGGACTCTCCCTGTCATGGCTCAGCCACTCCCCTCGCTGCCACACTGGGAAAGGGGCTTTGTTTGCACCGGTGAATGTGGAGGAAGGCTGGGAGGACTTGGTGTGCAGAAAGGAAACCCCTCGATCCGCAGTGCTCACACTGAATTCTCTACCCAGGAGGTCACTGGGGTGCCCAGTGCCCTACAGGGCATCCCCTGGGATGGGGAGCACAGCCCTGAGCCCAGCTCCACACTGCAGAACATCTCAGAGCATCCCATGGCACTCAGGGCATTCACTGCTCACCTCCTATGCTGTCCAGGAACAGAGGTTTCACTTTCCCCAGGGTCACACAGGGCTCCTGTGCTCAAGCTGTCCATGCCCTGAGCCTGGCCTGCAGCTGGATGCACCTGCAGATAGGTTGGGACTGATGCACAAAGGTGCAGACAGCCCTGGCTGGTAGGGATCCCCTGGCAGTAGAGCTGAACTGCACAAAGCCTGTGTGCTTCCCCGGTTTTTCTGCAGCTTTCCCTCCAACAGCCCACGCAAACAAACTGTTCTTACAGTACAGGTGGGGCCTGAAGTTCAAACCAGTGCTGCCACTGAGACATCAGCCAAATGCCTCCTTCCAGTTTGCTGACCCAGCCCCAGCAATTCCATCTCAAATCCCTGCAGGAGCCAGGGCTCTGTGCCCAGCAGTGCCTCCTGCCAGCCCACAGCAGCCTACCATCACCAGGACAGAGCGCCCAGGTCAGCGTCAGCAGGGCATGGAGCTGCAGAGAAGCCAGCAGAGGGCTGGGAGATGCCTTGGCCACCGATGCACAGCAACGACAGGCTCAGCTGAGCTGCATTACTCACCCCTCTGAAATCTCACACTCTGATGCACTGGGAGAGACAGCCCAGACGTCTGAGCATGCTGGAGCCTGCGGGGCCAGACAGCTGTAACAGGGTGCAGCACTCACCTCTCCCTGCCTTGCCAGGCTTCATGCACAGGTCGACAAAGGCTACAAAGATGGATATTCAGCATGCTGCTCCCCTCTGTTCCCCAAGGAGGAGGGTGCTACCTGTTCTGCAGCCAGGACCAGGAGCCTGGTAGGTGTCCTCCACCCCGGCACGGAGCCAGCTCCCACCTGACCTCCAGCTCTGCTGGCTGCTACCACCCTGCCAATGACAGCAGACACTGCTGCTCTGGAGCACAAACAAGTTTAGCCTTTGGACAGGACATACATTTTGGTTGTTCTAACAGGGGAACAGCAGGCCTGGCCATATGGCAGTATCTCTTTGGCTTCTCGGTGAGCGATGTAATGAGTGTGCTGGCCAAAGTCTGCAGCAGGGCCAGGTACCTGGTGCCTGCTGGCTCCCTGCCACTGCTCACAGCAATAGGAGCTCCCTGCAGCATCCTGCTGCCCCAGGGCAGATGAGCTCCCCACAGCCACCAAATTCAGCAGGTATCAGTGCTGCGGACGCCCAGCTCAAGTTCTCCTTGGGGCTGACACGATTGGCATCAATGTGAACAGAAGGAAAGGAGCAAGGTTTGTATTTCTGAGCGGGGAAAGAGGCAGCCCTGCCTCTGCACTGTGTGACAGGAGCCCAGTTCCTCAGCTGAAGTTCCATCCCTCCACGCAGCCCTGACAGCCAGCACCTTGCACCCCTGCCCTCCTTTGCAGCCCAACAAATTGCACTGTAAGCAAAACCAGGGCCCTTCTCATCCAGGAGGCTGTCTCAGAAGGCAAGCATTAGTTTTGCCTGCTCTGGGGCACTTCAAGGGATGCTGGACAGTCACAGCATTAACACCAGGACTCCCATTCTGGTGGATTAAGCTAATACATGGGATTACAAACTACAACAAATGAGGGTAAACACACCCATTTGCTGGCACCAGCCCAGCAACAGACACAGGTGCTCTCAGAGGGAGCAGCAGTAGCCTGAACAGCCCAAAACAGCAAGCACAGCCAGGGGAGGACAAGGCCTTCATCTTGGCTTTGCTTGCCCAAGAGCACTGCTGCTATGGAGCAGCCTTCAGCTGAGCAGGGACAGTGCACAGGCAGCACGGGCACAGCCCCAGCTCTAGGCTCCCATTCAAAGCAACTTGCTCATGCTGGATTAGCTGCACGCAAACACACAGTGGGAACAACCTCCGGTGCTCCCATATGGTTAACATTGCTGAGATAAACCTTTTTGTAACACAGAAGGTAAGCACAGAGGAAGGAAACACACAAGAAGGCTCAGCAGCAAGGCTGCAGTAAAGGCTCCGCTGCTTACACTTCTCTGTATCAGCAGATCTCAGTGACATTTTCAAAGAATTAGTAGGATTTGGCAGTCCAGCAATGCTGCAAAAACCTCTGAGGATTAACAGTGATCTATTGAGGCAAGAAATTAGGAAGTGCTGAGAAAGCTGCTGAGACCCACAGTGACTGCAGCTCTTTCCACATGGTTTTCCTGGGCTGAATGTGCTGTTACTGCTCCACAACCTGCAGCACAGTGCGGGCACAAGCTGGCACCAGAGACTCCTCAGGGCTCATCACTGCTCACGTTTGCTCTCATCTCCTCCAGGGCTGTCCAGCCCAGCTGCTCTACTCCCTCCTGCAAACACAGTTACTCCACACCAAGACCCTTCTTGCATCGTTCCATGCCTGCCCAGTCAGGTCATCACGCTTTTTTAAATTCTGTTGGAAGACAGAATGATAACCTTTCAGCCTGTGATGGTTGGGAAGATGATGTGCCAGGCCAGCAGGGAAGAGGTGATGCACAGCTGCCCCATTTTAGCACTTTGCACAAGAAATACGCCAGAGGAGGAAGCAGGTGTAGCAGCCAGGAATTCCCCACAGTGCCTGCTAGCTAGCTAACAAGCTGCCAAAAGGAAGGTCAGCTGGCAGTTACAGCCAGCTCCCTGCATGGGTTCAACTCAGGTACAAACAGGATTTAAAGAAAAAGTCTACCTTTGCATGCACAATCCATCCACAGGGCAAGAGCCGTGTGCACAGCTGGAGACAGAGCACGGCCAAAGCAAACAGCCCTGTGCAGGCTCATGGCAGACCTGCTCCTCTCTGGCTGAACGAGGCCGGAGCTGCAGAAGGGGAGGGGAGAGGAGTGCGAGTCCTCTGCAGAGCTGAATTACTCCATTATATGGGATCAAGAGAAGCATCTCTCTGTCTGAGCAGTGGGGACAAGCAGGGCTATTTTGTACTCGCAGCAACTGGTGTACTTGATCTCCTGTACCACAGATACCCAGGGAAAACCAACACCACTCACGTTTGTGGGTCTCCCTTCATCACTGCATTTGTTTTCCTCTTTGCAAAATGATGACCCAAGACGAGCCAGCACCAGTGAGCAAAGGGCCAAGCCAAACTCAGGTCAGGTGGGAAAAGCAAACCCTCCCCTCTGGGAGGCAAAACAAAGAGGTTCCCCTCCCAGTCCCTCCCCCCACAGGACGAGCAACCTCCCCAGCCCTGCACAGTGTCCTCAGCAAACACAGCAGTGAGGCCCTGCCTGCATGCACTCAGAGCAGCTGCTGCCCTCAGCGCTTCCTGGCAGCTTCTCTGTAACGAGCAGAGTTCGTTAAACCACTGGGCTGCAAGTCATTGCCAAGGCTACAGCACGGACCCTGCGCAATACCCAGCTCCTGGAGGCAGGAGCACAGTGGTGAGTGGGGCCTTCTGAGCTGCTCTGAGCCAGGAGGGAGCCTGAGCCCCCCCCACACTGATGCTGCTCTGCTGTGGAAACAAGGAAAGAAGTTAAGGATGCAGCCAGTGCCTTAAACAGTGCCTTGTGCTGCAAAGTGGGCACACAGGATATTTTTTAGGTCTGTCTCCTCTCATGCTGTATACAGTCTTTCGGAAAAAATAAGTCATGTTTGTAAAACAAATGCCAGCTGATGGCCACATAGGACTGGCTGCCCCCACCCATAGTTCAGCAACAAGGTGTGTGGGTGCAGAAGAGCAGAGTTGCTCTTAAATGCTTAGAGAGTGTTCCAAGTTTCCATAGTCTTGCAAACCTCTTCTCCCAGCACGTCCTCCAAGAGCACAGGCTGCTTTTCTTCTTATTTATTTTGCCATGCAGAACATGGGAAGAGATCATGCAAGAATTTTATCAGACCGAGCTTCCCTCTCTGTTCCATCTCACAGGAGCAGGACTGGTGCAGGCACAAGGACAGCAGAGCTGGGCAAATGGTGACTGTGTGGCCTTGGGGACAGCTGGGGTCCTCCCTCATGGTCTGCCTGCATGAACCCTCTGCCAGAGCTCTGGGGACAGTGCCAGCAGGGAGGCAGGAGTTCCCCTGCACCCAGCCCATGGCCATTCCCTGTTCAGAAAGGACACAGGTGGGCTGTGTCTCTGTACCAGGGATGTCAAACCACGGATGGCATGCCAGCCACATGCACGTACACTCTGTCCCAGCTGCCAACAGCCCTATCACCTCTAACACAAAAAGCAGAAGAACACAAGTCAGTATCTGGTGTGCTGCTCTGGATTTCTGCTAGCTGCAACGTGCTTTTTTCCCCAATACTGCAAAGTACCTTTGCAAGACAGGGCAGTAACAGCACCACAAAACACCTCAGCTCCAAGCTCAGTGGTCCTACAGGACAGATTTTCCCTTCACTGCATCCACAGCTCCTCGGATCAGTCATGCTCCACCAGTGCTCACTCCCTGCTGCCCTGGGCTGCATTAGCACAGGAAGATGCCAGCATGCAGCCACCAGCTCCACAGCAGCACCAAGGCACTGCAGCACAGCCCCAGCAGCCCTCAAGGCTCAGGTCCAGGCCGCCTGCAGTACTGGGGGTGACACATGAACTCAGCAGTGCACAACAGTTGGGTTCCAGAAAAGTCAAGAGCAAAAAGACTAGAGCTTTTCATGATGACTTTAGGAGCTGGGAATACCAGTTTTTGCAGGTTTTCTGGAATTCAGGTATTCAAAGGTGTCACATTAAGGGACAATTCTGTCCTTCCCAGTTCACATTTGCTCCAGGTGTCAAGGGGACAGCTCCCAGATCCAATCCTGCAATAACCAACTGCAGCAGCAGCCATCAGCATTAGCCAGGGGCTGCAAACCCACCTTTTCCCACTCCTATCTCATAGCTTCTGCTGTAAGTCAGCTGTAACCATCACAGAACCATCCACAGTAGCACAGTTCCCTCATGAATCATTAACACTAGAAACAAATGTGAAAGTTCATTTTCAGTGCAGTTGCAGGTTTAAGCTTCTCCAGGAACCCACCATGGATCACAGTCTCCAGCTCACCTACGCTGAATTGCCTGCAGCCCCTTACAAAGCTTCCAGGATTCTGCCAGCCCAGCATTCACAGCTGAGACCCCTGGCTGTGATCACTACCATGTCCAAAAGCAGGACCATCTCTCATTGGCCTCCCAAGCAGTCTGACTCCTCCTGCAGCCACTAGGCTAAGAGCCAAACTGAGCAGTGAGCCAACCACCTCCCTTCCTGGGGCCTGAGCAAGCAGAGCTGTCTCCAAGTGAGGTCAGACTCCCCTCCATGCTAAAAGCTCTGCTTGAGAAATCGCTGAGTTGGCAGGAGCTGCCACTTCAGCTTCACCCATTTCCTGTTACTAGATCAGAGGATCAGTGCAGCATCAGAGGACTGCTAGCCTGGCCTACTGCCACTTTACAATTACTGCTACAGCCATTGCCCTTAGCAGGTGAATAGTGGGACCTCTTGATTCTGATAGGAGCCAGAGCACAGCATAAATTATTTATGCTAAGGTTGACCTATTTAATAGCAGAATGACAGCATTCATTTGAGCCCAGATTCCCCTGAGGCTACTGGTGTCACTTTACTCACAAGGATAACACAGCCCCGCTGCTATATCTCTAGGCATCTGGGCTGGCAGCTGTGTGCTGGGAGCTGCTGTAGGCTGCTCATGCCACACTTTCAGTGCTTCTCGTGGAGGACGAGCAACACTTCCACATCCCTTTCAGTGTAGTTCAACCACTCCCAGCCTGCAACCAGCTTCAGCTGACCAGTTCTGATAAGCGTTTTGATACTGCCATAGATAACACATGGAAAGCAGAGCAGAGTGAAATCATAGGGCTTTCACAACCCTGTGCTCACAGGCAGCCACAAGCAGCAAAGTGGCTGCTGACAGCCCCACTCTAGACAGAGCAGAGCCAGAGGATGCACCCTGTTTTAGGCAGTGCCCAGTTGTGCAGCCAATCAGGATGCCACTCTGCACAGCTCATGCTGTCTCCAATATCGGCTCATATATTCTGTGCACAAGTCAAAGCAGCCTATGAAGGAGTATTTCACATCAAGGCACTGCTGCAGACCAATCAGCCATCTCCCAGTAAGAAACCACACACCCACAGATCACCACCACGTCCTTGTGGAGCTCACCTTTGTCTGCCAGAGACAGAGTGCTGTTGAAATACTGTTCCTCCACAGTCCAGGCAGTGTCATTGATCTTGTTTGACACCCCACAGAATCCAACGCAGCTCACCTTGATGGCTGTTAAAGAGAAACAACATGAGTAAGAATGGGAGAAAGCAAAACCACAGCTTCAGACTTGCATCGAGGCATCGTGAACACAGGGTGGAAAAAGGGAGCAGGGGAATCAGGTCACACCTCCAGCTCAGAGCACATTTTCCCCTCGCTGTCAGCACTGCCACACTCTCTCTGCTCCCCCAGTGCTATTTGCAGCTGTCAGCACCAGTAAGTTCTCATGCTGGCCATCTCACACTGTAAAGGCCCCAGCAGTGACTTCAGCACCAGGGCTGCTGAGTGTTGGTGCTTCTCAGCAGACAGAGACCACTTCAAGAGAATACCTCCTCCTCCTGTGAGAGATACAGCAAAGCCACACAGCCACGTCCAGAAGCATTTAGGATGCCATTTGACCCTCCCAAAGCAAACACAGAATTGGTGCTATGTTTGTACCCTGCCTTGGAAAAGTCATTCCTGTGCCTGCCCTGCTTGTTACACAGCAAGAGGCACCTGCAGTGCTTTGCTCCAGCCTGAATGTCTCCTATCCTGATTCCCACCAGGTTTTGCAACAGCTTTAACAGATCCCACAGAACTCCCTTGCTGGACCTGCTGGGTGCATACTTCTCCTTGCAGGAAGGCAGCAGGAGCCACCAGACAGGCTCTCCTCCCATTTCACCCATCTGCTTACTGCATCCAAGCAGCATCTCACAGGAAGCCTCTCCCCAGGAGGCAGGCAGCCAATCTGCCTGACTTCAGGGCTGCCTTCCTGCTCCAAGTTCCCCCACCTCCTGTCTCCCAAGCACTGAGCTGCAAGCAATGCTGCTCACAAGCACCCCACACTGCTCTGTGCGCTGCCTGCCCTGCCAGCCCAACTCAGGGTGGAAAGAAACTCAAACCCAGCTCTCTCTGCAGGGGGAACGCAGAGTTCCCTTCCTTGTGCTTTGCCATAGGAATTCAGAGTGAACAAGATGCTTGGGGCTCAAAGTCTCCAGTCCCAAAGGAGGAAGAGCCAACCCACAGCCCTGCTCACCTGGTCACAGCCTGACCGTGACCTGGAGCACCCAAGCTCACTGCAGCTTCATCCTCAAGAGCACAGGATGAACAGCAGCAGATGCCAGCTCTCATTAATCAAGCACCACTACGCACTGGCTCTGTCCATGTCTGCGAGGCACCACCAGCACTTCTGATGCTGGGGACAAAGCAAAGAGCATGGCTGGCACAGCTGTGGCACTGAGCATGCCTGTGCTGAGCTGGCATGGATCCCCTGGAGCACAGAGCAGAGTTCAGCCCCCCCCCCACACCCACTGGGGAAACCCACCGCTCTCATCAGAGGGCAAAAGGAGCAGCTTTAGCAGGGTGGGAGCTCTCCCAGCACAGACAGCCTGCCTGGCTCCACTCACACCAAGCCCAGGCTCAGCCACTCTGCTCCCATGTCTTCTCATGGGAAATGTGAGAAAGCCTCAGCAGGAACAGGAGGGACCGCCCCGGAACATGCTCCTCACAGCCTCCCCCAGCCACAGAGTTTTAAAGATAACGACCATCTGAAAAGTTTAAAGATAACTGCCATCTGTTGCAACACCCAGACGCTGGGTTGGAGATGGAAGTCTTCCATCCAAGCCCGCCTGCTGCACTGCAGTGCTCAGGCATTCCTGTTCCTGGAGGCAGGTGGTTGGGCATTTTTGCACACAGACACCACTGCCCCATATCCCTTCCCATGGGAGACAGGGACTCAGCAATGCCAATTGCTGCAGCCCAGCACTCAGAGCCAACCTTTGGCTGCTGTTCCCCAGTGCAAGCTGGGCTCCTCCACAACAAACCTCAGGGCTACACGCAAGCCTCATCTGAAAGCCTTACTGCAGCCAGCTATGGTTCCTCTATCTCTGACCGTCCACAGGGCTGTCAGCTCCAAGGCCTCTCTGCTGACCACCAACCCAAACTGGCTTGGTCACAGCCAAGAGAAAGGCTTCTGTCTCTACGTCCTCACCATGGGGTGGCCCTCTGCTGTCACGGTCCTGAAGGTCACTCCTCTTGGGACACACAGGCTCTTGTTTGCAAGGAGGAGCCAGGACATGCAGCAGCTGACAGGCAGAACCCAGGCATGCAGTGCTGGGGGCAGCTGCGAGCTAAAAGTGGGGTCAGAGGGACAGCTCTGGCAAACCAGCAACATCAGAGCTGCAGCAACTGGAAGTGCAAAGCTCGTCAGCAGGGCTGCCAGGAAGCCAAGTGCACAGTCTGAGACTTTCCAGGAGCTCCCTGCAGGCAATCTCCATGCCAAGTAGCAGATACAGAAAATAAGATGAGTTCATACATCAGAACAGCCCGATCCTGGCTGTTAGAAACACATTAAAAATGCCTCCTAAATCCAGTCGTACCAGCAGCCCCAGTTCCCATGTTCCTGCTCTCTGTTTACCCAGGTTGCTTTAAATAAATACAGAAAAAAAGGCAAAAAGCTGTAGGGGAAGTGGAGGGGTGAGCAAAGAGCAGCAAGAGGAGGAGAAGCAAATCACAGAGCGATGCAGAAGGCAGGGGCCCTTCACCCCACGATCCCCCAGCACTCTCAGAAGCAGCAGCTTGCATCCAGCCAGACGCATCTTTAGCAACGCACCGCAGCACTCGCCAAGTGCTGGAAATAAAAGGAGACAGCTCAGCCATATCCATCTCTGCTCTCAGCAAAAATAGAGATGCCAGGAGCTGGGCATGTCTGCCTTCTTCCAGGGTGATGTAAGGAGAGCAGCCGTACACCTCAGGTTACTTTTTCTGTTGATCCAGCCAGATGCCCTCCCTGCAGAGCTGGCGCTGCATTGCAGGCAAGGGGGGAGCAGAGGGCATGCAGCCCTCACCCCAATTTCCAGAACCCAGCTGAAGCCCATGCCAGTCAGTATCTGCACTGATGGGCCCAAGGGCTTCAGCTAAGAATGGCGAGCCCACACCCATAAGTGCAAGGCTAGACAGGTTGCAAAGCCACTCCGAAGCATCCTCACTGACCACACACAGCACATCCTGAAGGTGCTTGCATTAGGGCTGCTGTGTGCCTGGCTCCAGACAACAACAGCAACAGGGAAGGGAGGAGGGCTGTGAAAGCCCAGCAAGTCTGCATCAAATAGTCTTCATTTCATGGAAACCAGCCAAGAGCAGCCCTTTCCTCACCCCTCTCCATCGGAGCCGCACCAGGCAGCTATCAGCATGCCTCAATTAGATTCTCCCCTCTCTCCGGCCCCAGAAGAATCTGTGCCTACAGATCAAGGAGCTGTCACAGCAGCACTGCGGTCCCACTTCTTTGGGGTGGGGGGAGAAGAGACCCACAGCAGCTCACAGCCCCTTCCCTCAAGCCCAGCTGACAGCACACAAACTGCCAACCCCATCGGGGCCAGTGTGGGGGACTCAAGGCCTGCACACAGCACACAGCTCTCAAGCAGATTGCAGAGATTCAGTGGTTCTTAGAAAAGCTCTATTAAAAAAAAAAAAGTACCAAGGAAACCGAGACCACAAAGAGAAGCACAACAAGGCCTTGGACAGGTTGGCTTTCACAAACTCACCAGTACAAGCTCTGACACAAAGGGCTCGTGTCCTCCTCTGCACAAGAAGGCTGGAAGCTCACAAGACAGGTTGCTCCTCAGGCTCCCAACCATTGTGCACAAATATACCAGGAACTTATTAATTAAACCAGCAAGTCCTAATTAATTCTGAGCTGTCCTCATCCTTTTGGGACCTCCTTCAGACACAAACAGACCCGGGCATTTAGCAAGCCAGCAAGGCAAGAGCAGAGATGGCATGGAGCTGAAGGCAGCAGTGGGTCTGGCACAATGAAGGACTGCCCAGAGAAGTTCCCATCTCCTCCCACCCCAGAGCTCAGCTCAGGGCCACAAAGGGGACTCAGCCTGAGGGAAGGAGGTGTCCCCATCTCTTCTCCAGCTGTCACAGTGGAGCTGGCTCTGCCACATCAATGCAGGAGGTCCCTGCTGGGTCTCAGACACAACTTGAACCCACAGCTGCAACCCACTGTAGGAAGCCTGGAGCATCACCTGCACACAGACAGTGACAACTCCACCTGCAGCAACAACTGGGCAGTGATGGCTGTGCTATATGGGTGACCCATAGCACCCTGTTACTGGCTGTTACTTAAGCTAAGGGTGATTGGTTTTAGCTAAAATCCACCCCAACTATATATCAAGGGTGTTCATATCCCAGAAATGCAGACTTCTCTAGAGACCAGGCAGAGCTGTGCCTCCTGGCCAGGTCTTTTCCCAGACAAGGTCAATCCTCTCCCTTTGCAAGCACTTTCCTCTATCACAGGCACACAGCAGGAATGCCTGCTGTTTTCAGCCCCTGTCCAAAATCAGAATTCTGCACACACCCCAGAGAAGAAAGCAAGCTGCTGGGCTCCTGGTAAGGACAAACTGCAGGCTTTTCTCCCTCGCAGAGCTGACAGCTTTATTTATAGCATCACAGAGTTTTATCAGCACGCAGGCTGCCCTCAGAGAAAAGGGGTCATCTTGAGCATCTGGAATGAAATCCCTGGCTGAGCACATTTAACGAGCCTGTCTTCACCCACGTCAGGGCAGGATGGAAGGAAACCTCACCAGTGAGCAGGGCCACCCAGACACCAAGGGGACAGCCACATGCCACTGAGCCCTGATGCAACAGGCCCAAAACCTGCTGCATCCCCACACCAGGTTTGATGGCTGCACTTCAGCCCTCATTTCATTTCCTGGAGTGTTGCTGCAGCCGCCTTGCTACCAGGCACGCTCCTCCAGCATCCCCTTTCCTCAAAACATCTTCTTGCAAAAAAGAAGTTTTCTGTAAGCTGCAGAATGATGTAGGTGTTGCACCACCACAGCCAACCACCAGGCCCATGGGCTTCCTGAAGGAGCAGCCCTGGCCACGACGCAGGCAGCAGCATGGCTTCAGAGGAAGCAGGGAAGAAAAAAAGTCACATTTCAGCCCAGTTCGAGGAACCCAAGCTCTCAGTCCATTGTACATGTGGCTCAGGAGCAATGCTCCATCAACAGGGAGCAGAAATGAGTCTC